GGGACCCCTGTGAGCCCCTGCTCTGGGCTCCCGCGTAGCTCTGGCCGCAGGGCTGCGCTGGGAGAGGAAGTGACCGGGTCACACAGGGAAATTCAGGGGACAATGTGGTTTAAAGAAAACCTCCATGGCCGGAGCATGGGACCCAAGCAGATAAACTCCCTTATTAAGCTGCTCTGGGACCCAGGCTACATAGACACCGGATGGGGCCGGGGGTGGATCTGATAAATGGCCCCGGGAAAGGGGTCGTTAAGGCAGATAGAAGCACATTCTCCCCTGTGCCCTGGACAGGTGCCAGGTTGCATCTGGAGGAAGGAGATGTGCCAGTCTGCCTCAAAGCGAGAGAGAACAGGGAGGGGAATCACCCATCATGTCACTGCAGTACAGGGAACATGACACACACGGCCACAGTCCTGAGTGCATCCATTGCAAGGTAGTGGTTATATAGACAACCCAGCCCCCCTGCTCAAACCCACTAGACCCCCCCTCCCATCCTGGCACCAGGGAGAGAACCCCTGGAGTCCTGGCACCCAGCCCCCCTGCTCTAACCATTAGCCCCCCCTCCCCTCCCCAGTTCATAGGGATGGTGCCAGACTGGAGCGAAGGGTTCTGGCTCTAACTGGAGTAACATGATGCTCCAGGCTCCTCTCCCAGGTCCTGGGGTGGGGGCTAGAGGTGAGAGCTAGGACTCCTGGGTTCCCCTCCCAGCTCGGGGAGGGGAGCCTGGTAGGTTAGAGCAGTGGAAGGAGGGGGCTGGAAGCCAGGACTCCTGGATACTTCCTGGGGCCTCTCTTCCCTGCCCATGAACAAACCCGGACACAACCATCCACTTTTTCCTCCTTTTATTTCCACTTTCATTCCTGTAGCACATTCACTCAAAGGCCCGAGCGGGACCCCCTTCGCCAAGCCCGGCTTCGGGGGCGGGGGTTTAGGAACATACTGGGGTCTCCAGCTGTACAGAGGATATATACAGGGGATGGAACAGCTGCGCTGACCCACGGGCCATACACCCAGCGTGATCAGGGACGGGTCCCCTTGTCACGACACCCACGCCCCGGCCGCCCTCCGCCACGGCTTTAGATAGATTTGGTTCCTTGGCTCTTTTGGTCAGTTAGAGACTTCAGCTGCGTGGGCGGCAGAAACAGATCAAATCGCTGGCAGCCTGAAGGGGGAGAGATCCAGGCGCTGGGCCGTTAATCCAACTCCTGGGTCTTTCCCCCAGAGGAATCCAGAATCGCCACTGTTGGCTGTGGGGGAAGCGCCCAATCCACCTTGAAAGTGACGACTTGATCCACCCAAGGCAGTGTTATTAACTGGCTGCCCCCCCCAGCCTTCCTCCCAGAATCCACTGCAATTTTTAGAGAGTCCATCGCCAGGAAAAGTTGCTCGGTCAATGTCTGGTACGAGGGCCGCTTTTCCTTTTCAAAGGGGTCCCGGATCCGGGCCTGAAATAAGCAAAGCCTGTGAGAAGACTCCAGCTGGTTGATTTCTGCACCAGCCGTGTGAGTTTCACCTTTGTTTCAAAACCTTTGTCCTGTTTAAACAGCCCAGCCGGGTAAATAAACTTAACAGCGCCGAAGGTTGGCAAAATAAATAGAGCAGCACAAAATAAGGAAAGGCTGAATACCAAAAACAATATTCACAACTCAGCACCATTGGCTTCTGCTTCTCATCTACAAAGTCCCTTCTCTCGCGGTGAGCGAGAGATCAAACAGGCCACTGATTTCAGCAGCAGAGTGGGAGTTTGGACAGGGCCCCCATCACAAAGCCAGGAAGCGGAAAGACTTTGATTACCTCCCAAAGATACATTAGGCCCTACAATAACAACGCTATCCCAGCACAGCGGGGCAATTGGGTAGCAGCCCAGGGCACCCAGCGCCCCCAATCCCTGGCTCTAACCACTAGCCTCTGCTCCCCTCCCAGAGCTGGGGAACGAACCCAGGAGTCCTGGCTCCCATTCTCCTGCAGTTAATGACAACTGAGATTTCCAACTGCTAATTTAGCGCCCACTGCAAAATACCCGGAGATCTGATTTCCCAGCGCCCGGGGCACTAGGATCTGTCTCCGATTTTAAATATTGAGATCCCCAGGGATTTTTAAAGAAAGAAAAAAATCATCGGTTCCTTGGATTGATTTTTAAAATTGGGATTTTTGCCCAGGAGTTTGCCAGCTCAGCAGGTGACACTGACTAGGCAAAGGAGTGAGATTACCCACGAGCTGTTGCCCCGAAGAGAAATACACCTCCTGGAAATTGGATCAATTCAAAATGCCTTCAGCTTTAACGATCTCAAGTGTCAGCAACCTAAGTGAGGGGAGTAGAAAAGTAGATTGGGCCCGATCCCCGCTCTGGCCGTCTCTGAGCCAACAGTCAGAGCACAAACTGTCCTAACTTTGGTGGCGCAAAGACTTTATAGCAGCTGTGTTTCCTACCAAACACAGGGTGTTTTCAAACCCAACCCAACCTCCATTTCTCTCGAAGATGAATTTGGCTCAGTTTCCAAAGGAGACGTACCAGGCTCTTAGGAAAGGTGAATCCAATGTGTGAGAAGGAACAAGACCTGGGGGGAAAGTTGGCACCTGGAGACCCACAAACCAACAGATCTCAGCCTGGGTTTGGAATAGGTCTCAGGATAAAACGATCCCAGGTGCCAGAGAATATAGTCATCACCAGTTACAACCCAACGGATTTGGGGGAGACAGGAGTGGGTGTCAGGGTGTCTTTCAGTCCCCCACCGCTCCCAAGAAACCCAGAGCCTTGGCAGTCTCCCAGCCTGACTGGGCCAGAAACAGCTTCGTAGCTTTCACCCGAGCCCAGTTGATCTAGATTGAAAAGCCGCCCTGGGGATCTAAAAGAACCATAGCGCGGCTGGAGCCGGATTCGAAAATTCCCACCCGCCAGTCCTTTGTGTCATTTCAATCCAGGGCAACAGACAAGGCACGATTCCGAGCGGAATGGAACGGAGCGCCAAGCCTGCCCCTGGAGCCTTGTCCGCGGGCGGAGACTCAAAGGCAGCCAACTTCCATGGAGCAAATCGGCGCTTGAAAGCCTTTTTTTCTTTTGATGCATCAAAGGGAAACTTTAAAGAGCTGCAATTTCTCCAGAGAGCTGAGCACGTCGGGGGTTGATCTCTGGGGGAAATCTAGCTCTTATTTAGACTTGGAGACCTCTAGAGACGCTGGCTCGGATTTTGGTATTGAGCTAAGCACCTGAATACCTTCCAGGGCCTGGGCCTGAGACGGTAGCAACCTGCCCCTCCTGACTTCTTTGGCACAAATCGTCCTCCAAGAGCAAGTACCTCGTCTGGGCGTAGCCGAGATTAATCCCCTTTGATTGGAGGTAAATCAGAATCGGGTCATTTCCAATCAAGTCCAAAGCACTTTCCTCTTTTCTGGACCTCAGCGTCAGTCCCATGATAATTCTTTGCAGTTTCACAACCCCAATTCCCCTCTGTTTACACAACCCCCCCCCACCCCAAAACTAGCCTCTTGTGCGGCAAAGAAATGCTGGATCTGAGAGCCCAGCCTAGAGTGATTTGAGCCCTGAGGGACGGGGTGGAACTTCTCCCACGGTCTAACTGTATTTCGGTCTGAGGCTGAAACTGATTAGATGCAAACATGCAATGGACTAGAAGCAAGAACAGGCCCCAGATCAGCGGCGGCTCCAGGCACCAACGCTCCAAGCGCGTGCCTGGGGCGGCAAGCCGCGGGGGGCACCCTGCCAGTCCCTGCGAGGGCGGCAGTCAGGCAGCCTTCGGCGGCATGCCTGCGGGAGGTCTGCCAGTCCCGCGGATTCGGCGGCGGGTATGCTGAAGCCGCAGGACCGGCGGACCTCCTGCAGGCATGCCGCCAAATCTGCGGGACTGGGGAACTCCCGCAGGCGCGCCGCCGAAGGCAGCCTGCCTGCCATGCTTGGGGCGGCAAAAAAGCTCGAGTCGCCCCTGCTCCGGATCCCCAGCTGGTGGAAATCAGCGTCGCACTGTTGACTTCCCCACTTGGGGATATGGTCTTTGAGCACTTTCTAACTCACAGAGGAAAACATTTTTCCTCCCTGCACCTTTCAGATTGGGTGGGATCACTAGCAGGTCCATGGGCAAGTCAGATAGTAACCTTGGATCCCCTACCGGGGCGTTTAAATCCAGAGCAAGGAGAGAGTGGGGAAAGACAAAATGGAAGGCGACGAGCGATCCTGCCAAGTCCTGCTCGCTTTTGCCGGGAACAGATGCCGAGGGTTTGTTCGAGGGCCTGGTTTCTGGCCAGCTTTGGAAAAGAGACTCCCCGTTTCTTGGCCACGATCAGAAGATCCGAACCTTGGCAATAAGGATGGAGGTGTTTTAAGGACGTGAGTGTCCATGAGATTCGAGTTTGACCCTCCTGCGGCGGTGAAATCCAAGAACCCCCTGCCCGTTCAAAGGAAGCGGCACAAATAACTGGAGCTGTCCGAGACACACCGGCGGCTTCCTTGTTTCCTCACGCTGGGAGCTCTGGAGGAAACAGCCCGCTGGGACGGGTCTGATCTAGCCCCAAAGTAGCAGGGCAGGGCTTGGTGTGTGTTTGTTCGGGGCTAAGCTATTGTGGGGCCGCCCGGGGGGGAACGGGAAGGGCGGGGGAGAGTGATCGCTACCGCTCCCCATGGGCTATCAAGGAGCACGCCACCCGCTGGGGTCAGCCCATCGCACTCCCCCGCAATGGGCTGTAGGGGGAGCGTGCGCTGCGTCCATTCTGCTGGACGCCGGACTCAGGCGCCTTCCCGGCATTGGCAAGATGCTGGAGCCAACAACAGATGGGGAGGCAAACACCCCTGGATCTAAGGGGCGACGCCCTGGGCACCCCTGTTCCCACAGAGCCTCACTGCTGCCTAGCAGCCCTATAACTGCCCACCCCTGCCCTAGCTCCCGCTGGGAAGATCTGGAACCCGGTTTTAAGATTTGGCCCATGCGCGATCCAGGTTAGAGCCCAGCTGGCGCCCGACTCCCTGCCGGGACGAGGGAAGGGGCCGCGGAGCACGGAAGAATGTGGGGTTTTAAAGCCGTTGCTTTTCGGAGGAAGCCAAAGGCGAGAAGATACCGACGCGGGTCAAATTTGACAAATGGAAAGCGCCTGGGATTCAAGCCAGCCCACGTTGCTCTCAAGGAGACAAGCGGCCCAGAACCGAATGCCCTTTAGCAGGGGCCACTGGAGTCTCGATCGGGCTCGGGGCCAGTTGGACCTAATGGGACGCCGGCGAGCCCAGGGTCGCCAGCCTGCTCCTGCGGCTAGTCAGTTACAGCTGGGCCAGCCCAGGGGTGTGAAACTGACTAGGGCAGGACTGCTACAGTTGACTTAGCTGTGGGTTGTAACTGAGGTGGAAGTTAATCTGGTGGGAGGGGCCAGTCCCCCCTGTCTGCGCCCCATGGCCCACAGCCCCGGTGCATCAGCCTAGTCCAGCAGCCCAGATGAGCATCAACTGCTGCCACAGAGGGTCAATTACAACACCAAGTCCTAATCAGTTTCTCTCCCCCGCCATGGCAAGTTGGGGGTGGGGGGGAAGGTGTGGAGGAGCCCTGGGTGGGGGACGGGGCCCCACCAGTGCAGGCTCTGGGCAGGCCAATCTCCGTCCACACCCAAGATTGGGACCTCCCACACGCCGGATACACCCCCCCAGAGACGCCTGCCAATCCGGGCTCTGCCTGCCGGTCCCTCCGGTAACAGGGCTACGTACCAACTCTGGCGATCCCACAGATCACCAGAAAGATCCCCCCGAACTGACACCGTGGGGACGTCCGGTTTCTCTCCCCATCCCTACCTAGATCCTGGGGGATCTCACAACCCAGAACCTTCCTGGGGTAGAGATCTCAGATCTGCAAAGCCCAATGGTGACCTCTAGTGGCCAGGTTGCTTCCCTACAGGGACTTCTTGTTTGTTTTTCCAATAGGACCTAGAGTAAATCCCCTTCTCTGCTACGACACAGCCAGCTCTCTGCTTCGTCTGCCTTCGAGACGCTAAACCCCACGTGGCTGCAATAAGCGATTCATATCAGACTTCGTACAAAGAGCCCGGATCTGGGACGATAGGATGGGCAGATATCTGGAGGGGGAAACTATCCGTAGCGGTCTTGAGCCAGACAATCCAACACAGATGCTGATGTAGGAGGTGGGTCTCTGAGCTAAGATAAGGCCAACGCAGAAGGATGCCACGGAAACAAAAAGGCATCAGGGGCTAGATCCCAGCGATGAAGCCCTGCTCTCCTCCGGGCGGACGCGAAGGGGAAAGAGGATGTTCGGAAGACGTCTTCGTCTGCAGAAATTCCCAGATCGGCGCAGCTGACGCAGGCCAGGCACCGCTTCCGATCCCGTGTCATAGAAACGAGCGAGGGGCCGATCTCGGCAGCATCCAGAGAAGCTCCAGACTGATGCTGGCCCAGCCGAGATCAGGACCCGCTTCTGGACAGGCCATCAGCAGATCGCACGCCACAGCCAACCCGCTGCAGGGACGCTAACGCAGCGCGATGAGGCGCGATCAACGGAAATGGTTTTGTTTACGATCCCTCCGCCCCGCCCCTCTCCCCACCGATACGGATCCTGCCCCAGAAGTCAATCCACAGGCGGGCAGGTCTTGCCTCCATCCTGTCAACAGCTGATCTCTCGTTAAAACCAGGAACAGAAAGGCTCGGCTGATCGAAGATCTCTGGTTAGTTTTACAGCCGAGCAAATCCAGGGAGCCACTGGGGTCCGTTTGCCCAGGGAAACGGCTAACGAATGAAAGTGGCAAGCCAGCAGAGATCATATGTTGTTTGATCCCCTAGTATCCCGGATTCCCGTCCCTTTGCATCATGGGAGCGGATGTCTGGTCTTCCTCCAAAGCGCGGAATAAATTCCACTTGATCTCTTCATTGGAGGAGGAAATATACCACGACTGGGCAACTTGGTTTAAAAGGCAACCAGCCAAGTTCTGGGTCAGTGAAAAGCGGATCCAAAACGGAACAGAAAAGAGCACGTACATCCCAGCGGTCAAGAGTCTGAAGATCTGGGGAGGGGCGTTGGGCGTGCTCCCCAGCTTTGGCAGCGACGCCGTCAGAGGCTGCGGCCGCAGCGGGGAAGGAAACCAAAAACCGGATCCGCTAATGCACATAAAAGAAAAAGGCACCGGAGTCCGAGTGGCCGATCCTGGTTGGGTCTCTGAAGGATCTTCCAAAAGGATCACTGGAGTCAGAAGGGGATGGTTGGCGGGGATCCCACTGGGAAGGCCAGATCCTGGTAGGTCCATGAAGGATCTTCCAAGGAGAACATTAAATCCAAGGGGGAGGGGGGGTCAGAAGGGGATCTAACAGGGAGGGAGATATTCTAGTTGGTCTCTGACGGATCGTCCAAGGAAATAATTGAAATTAGAGAGGATGCCAGTGGAAAGGGCAGATCCCAGTTGGTTCATGAAGAATGTTCCAGGGAGATCATTAGATCTGCAGGACGATGGATAGAGGGGATCCCACAGGGGGGAGAGATCCCGGTTGGTCCATGAAGGATCTTCCAAGGAGATCATTAGATCCAGGGGGAAACAGAGAGGATTGACCTGTGATGAGTCTCAAGGAGGTTGCCGGAAGGGGGAGTGGCAGGAGAGTTGGGGGGATCCAATCCCCAGGGGTGGGGGGGTCACGAGACGGCTGGGGACTCTGCGGCCGCCTCGTCCCCCTCCTCGGAGTCCCAGACCTCGGACTGCAGGTAGTCGGCGAAGAGGGCTTTGGCCCGGTGCAGCACCTTGGCCAGATTGTGCCGGCGCACCAGGCGGTCGAAGTGCATGGCCAGCTCGTTGTAGTCCATGTTGTTCTTCATGATGTGGTCCCGGTGCTCCAGCAGGATGGCCAGGCACAGGAAGAGCATGAAGGGGTTGCCTTTGCCGAACTCCTGCGGCGGAGGCAAGCTCACCGTGGCTGGGGACGGGGCGGCGGGGAGGGGGCTGCTGGGTGGGGAGGATGGCGTGTCACCTGCCAAATCTCCCTTCTCCTCCGGCAGGCTCTCGTTCTTCTCGCTGCCAGAGAGGGGTGAGGGTGAGGAGGGGGAGTCTCCGGAGGGCGTGGGCGGGGTCAGGGGCCGGAGGGATGGGGCGGAGAAAGACTTGGTCATGGCCGGGAGCTGGAGCAAGGGGTCCTGCTCGCTGCAGAAGTCCTCCTCTTCCTCCATGGAGCGCTGGGATCTCAGTGAAGGCTCTTCCTCGGAGCTGTCCTCACGAGCGCTGTAGTACTTGAATTCCCCAAAGCTGGATTGCTTCAATAAGGTCTTCTGCTCCAGGCAAGGCCGGGCTCCGGGCTCCTCCAAGGAGGGCCGGGCTCCGGGACTCCTCCAAGCAAGGACGGTCCCCAGTCGCATCGAAGCTACAGGTGGGACGCAACATGTGGCGTTGGCGGACAGGCTGGCCACTCTCACTAAGCCTGGCCGGCGGCCCCACCAGCTCCACCTCCTTCTCCGGAGGATCCGGTGGCAAGGAGCTCCAGGTTATCTCCAGCATCCGCAAGGCATCCTCAAAGGCAAACTCCCGTTTCAGCTCCAGCAGCAGCCAGCGGTAGCAGAAGAAGAAGTCGTCGGCGCCCCGGGAGAGGAGGTAGGCGTAGAACTCAGGATCCGAGTACTGGAGGAGGAGCTTGAGGTGGGAGAACTTGAGGGACATCACCTCGCCGTCCACCTGGAAGTTTCCTTCCAGGCGCTTCATGATGCCGCAGAAGCAGATGAAGGCGTGGGCCTCGTTGTCCATGACGGCCAGGATGGGCGAGGCGATGTCGCTCATGCCCTGGCAGTAGGAGATCTGCGGGTGGGTGACGGCGTAGGTGGTCAGCAGGTCGTGAAGGGCGGTCAGGTGCGGATTGTCCTCCGAGCCGGCGTAGTAGGGGTGGGTGCGGTCCGTGCGGAGAACATCCTTGAGGACGTTGCTGCGGATGAAGTCCAGGTCTTCGGGGCTGGCCCGCTCCGCCCACTGGCCCTTTAGCTGGTCGTACTCCCGCGTCTTGCGCTTCATGTAGTTCATGCGCTCCTGGCCCGTCAGCCCGTCTGGGTAGACGTTCAGCAGGTAGCGCCACACCACCTGGGGGGGCAGAGAGAGGAGCTTCAATGCCCGGCATCTTCCCGCCACCTCAGCGTCCCACCACACTGCCTCTCACCCGCCTGGCCTCTCCCAGGATCCCACCGCGACTTGGGGGGCAGAGAGCGGTCTCAGCGCTAGGCATCGTCCCACATAGCCTGCCATGCTACATGCCCCTTTGTGCCAGGCACCCCGACATCTCTCCCCCATGGCTAAGCACCCCCTGACATCCCATCTCCACTACCCCCGAGATCCCATTTCCCAGAGCCAGGGAGAGAACCCAGGAGTCTTGGCTCCCAGCCCCCTCGCTCTAACCAGCAGACCCCACTCCCCTCCCAGAGCCGGGGAGAGAACCCAGGAGTCCAGGCTCCCAGCCCCACTCCCCAGAGACTCACTTTCCGCAGCGAGGGCTCCACGCCGCCGTGGTAGATGCGCAGCCGCAGCTCCTCGGGCCGGTTCAGCTGCCCCTCGTGGTTCAGGTAGGTGTGGAACTCGGAGTCGCTCAGCGGCGGTTTGAACGGCTTCACGTCCTCCCCGTAGGACCAGCTCAGAGCCTGCTGGACCTTCGACAGCGTCCGGCCCACCTAGGCAGAGAGACAGGGTCACTGACCCAGTCCTGCTCAGAGCAAGGCATGGCGGACGCCAGGGGCGGGCAGGATCCTCCACACTGTATGGGGGGGGAACTGAGGCACGGGAGCAGGCAGGGGAGGTCCAGGCAGTAGGAGACTTCATTGGACCATGATGATCCTAGCACTGGAACAACAGAGCTGTGGCCAGCTACCAGGAAGAGCATGCAGGAGAGCGGGAGTCAGGACTCCTGGGTTCTACCTCCGGCTCTGGGAGGGGAGTGGGGTCTAGTGTGTTAAAACAGGGGTGGGTGGGTGCGTGGGAACCAGGACTCCTGGGTTCTCTTCTGAACCCTGTTCCACCCACGTAGCTTGGGGTGCTTCCTACCTGAACGACCCTCCTCCTCGTCCCCTCTCGACCCACCTGGGAGATGATGGACTGGGTAAAAGGCAGGGCGGCCGCCGCCAGGGACCTCTTCTCCACCAGGAGCAGATCAGTGCTGATGACATCTTTGGGGCTGATGATGTCCCAGTCCTCCAGCAGGGGGCCTGAGAGAGCAGCACATGACAGTTAGCAGGTTCTGTTCCCGGCTCTGGGAGGGCAGTGGGGTCTGGCGGTTAGAGCACGAGGAGGGGGTGGCAGCCAGGACTCCTGGGTCCCTAGCCCTGCCACAGTGACTCACTGTCTTCCGAAGGCTTGATATCCACGAGGAGCTGCAGGTAAGGCTTGGAGGCGCTGGCGAAGGCCGTGGCCAGGTCCCAGTCCGACAGCAGCGACAGGTATGTCTCCTGACCCTGCTTCTCCTGGCCCAGGTAGCTGATCCCAAAGTTCTTCTTCCTGGGTGAGGGGGAGGTGATTGGCTCCAACGCACACAGGACAACATCACCCCATCCGCAGCGTTCCCCCTCCCGGCACCTCTCGGGGTCCCCCATCGGTACAGAACCCCACACGCTCGCCGTCAGCCATACGGAACCTCCCACTGCTCCCTTGGGGTCTCCCATTGGCCGTAAGGACACACACCCCTCCATCGGCTATACAGAACCTCCCCCGCCTCTTTAGGGTTTGCTGTCAGCCATACGGATGCCTCCCGTTAGGGTTCTTCATCAACCATACAGAACCCCCCACTACTCTCTAGAGGTCACCGGCCGTTCCAGCCTCCCTGCCTTCCATCCTTTCTCGGGCTCCCCCATTAGCTCTTCAGACCGAATGAGCTCATCTGTCCCCCAAATCTCCTCTTTGCCCCCTGGCTCCCAACAGCCTCAAATTTTTCACTAGCTCCTTCCTCAACCAGGATCTAACTCCCAGGCAACCCCAGAAATAGCAGCACTGGGGAGAGAACCCAGGAGTCCTGGCTCCCCCCTCCCCTCCGCTCTAACCCTCCCATGCTGGTCACAGGTCCCTGGCGACTGGGGCGGGACTCACCCGTTGAGGTCGAAGGCGCGGATGAGGATGTGCTGTAGGACATCCAGCGAGGTGATCTGGGGGTCGACGGCAAAGGTGCGGAACTCGGGCTGCAGG